CCTTGGTACGTCTGATGTCGAGGATGGAGAGCTGGCCTCTGTAGAGCCGTCTCAGATAATGGCTTTTCTTAAAGCCCTGAGACTGTATGATGAGTTATAACTCGTTATAACTCAAGAAAGGGGAACACACAATAGATCTATAAGGTCGAGGTGATTAACTCCCCTCCTAAACATTCTACATTCTTGGAAATACCCTGTATATGCATATCACAGGCAACCAAATAAACTAGTAACCTCTAAAAATTATTTTTCCTACCACTAACGACATACCGTGTTTTTAGTGTGTACTAAATTATTTTATCAAAATTTCACCATATAAGTTTCCAGGCAATGGTGTTGACTTACACAATAAGTTAATATGACAGGAATTTTAACAAATAATAATTTTTTAAGAACTGATTGTAAATGTACATAAAATATTTGTCATTTTTTGTATATACCAAAATAGAGATAAGCCTTAATTGGTATTTATTTATTTATAATATATTAATAGAACAATATTGATCATGGAATTCTTTAAAATGCTGACCTGCGAAAATAATTCTTCATTGTTATAGATAAAAAAGAATTATATTTTTCCTAAAATATTTTGTAAAATTTCTTTAAAATTAGATTGAGGATTTTATTGTTTTAAAATAATATCTTATATATTTTTGCATTATTAAATTGAATATAAGTAATTAGTGTTTCTTGAAAAGACTTTATATTTTTTTCCTCACTAGAGGAAAATCTAGAAAATAAAAGTTTTATTTGTAAACACCACTGCGCAGGGTTGGGTAGGTAGAAAATGTTATACAGGGTGCGTGTCTCAAAAGTGGCTCATCCCTATAACTTTTTTATTTTTTCAGATAAAAAAATCGAGATTTGGTAGATTAATATATGACATAAGTTAGGATTGATTGACATATTTATTTTTTTTTGTCACTTACTACAACTTTTGATTTTTAAATGGTACCCTCGGTGTTTTGTTGCTTTATTCGATAGAAAATGACACTCTGAATAGAATGACATATGTCAACTTTTGACATTTTCGAATATGGTTTATTTGAAATTGCAAAATGCGATTCATAACGACAATTTGACTCGAAATACCAAGTGTGTGGTACCAAATTATTTGTAAAAAAATGCTTTTTCAAAAAAATGCTAATGAGCCTCCCTCGTTCCATTTGAAAAAATTGAGATATTTATATATCAGAAACTATTTTATATTTTAGAAAGTTTGGCATAGAATTTTGAAAACCCTGTATTGTTTAAGATTACGATATTTATAGGGAAGTAAGTAAGACCCATTATAGTTTTGATTTTAGAGCATTTTTTCTATTTCTAATAATTTTAAATCAAAATATGCTTATTCAAACTTTCTGTATAAATATGATTTATTTTTAGTTGTTAATTTTTACTTATGTTATGATAATTTTAATAAAAAATAATAGCTATATAATGAAGTATGTTCTGGAAATCTGAAGTACCTGTACTTTAATATTAATAGGTATAGTTCAATAGATTTAGCATTAATCCTTTAATTGACAATATTCAATATCCATTGTATATTTTTACATAGATCAAAATACAATTTTGTTCATTTGAAACAATCATCTTATCTTAAGTGATTGAGATTTATTTATTTGACGTAGTTTTGAGATAACTATAACAATTTTCTCATAACAACTTTCAGTGGGGTATCCAATTTTTATCAATAAATAATAAAAAAAAAATTGTTTATAGGTATCTATCTCAATGTGGTAGAATTGTGTTTAAAATAAATTATATTACTTTATATTAAAAAAAATACTTTTTCCAAATATGTTAATGAGCCACCTTCGTTCCATTTGAAAAAATTGAGATATGATTAAAAATACGATTAGGGCATCTTTTAACCGGCCAGACCAAGACACTAAAAACATTAGACGACCAAATCTATTTTTCCACGGCTCCTTGAATAAATTAGTGTTTTTAACACAGCCATGGTACTCTAGATTGAAATTTAAAATACAATTTTTTCTGTGAAGTATATAGTTTCAATAACAAAATACTTAAATATCGTATGATCGAGAAAAAAACGGCGTCAGCGATGGCTATAAATGAAGATCGCTGTCAATTTATATGGGAAATGTCATCGATCGTCATTTTCCAGCCAACTGGACGCCGTTTTTTCTTCGATCATACGGTACTATGACACAGCCATGGTTTCAATATCATATTTCGATGCGATCAACATGAACGGTAAACGGGACAGTGTGAAATAAAATAGCTGGACAGTTCTGATTTTTGCCGTACCGAGCGTTTCTGCCAAAATTTTTAAAATTCGGTTGAAATAAGGTTGAAATGCACTAAGCCTATAGGTTACTCCCCGTACTGAGTAGTTTTAGGATTTAATTTAGTTCACACTTGATAACGGTCAGTGATTCATCTGACGGAAACGTTGTGTAAGTTAAAATAAAATAAATAAAGACAATGGAAGTCCAAAATCATTTTAGTGGCTATATTTAGTATTATTATAGTTTGAAGTACCTATTATCTTTGAAATATGGGAATGATTATTTTAATTTTACTAATAATTTTTAAGATTAGTCTTTGCATACCAATACCATACAACGGAAAATCCTTAAAAAATAACTTAAAAAATCTAGTACTTGTTTAAATAGCAAAATTAATTTTAAGTAAACAAGTTTTATTTTCAAGCACTAGATTATGACAATAGATAGTGTAGGATATCATAGTGGCAGAAAAGTTAAAAAAAGTTATAGTCGGAGAGCCGGGATCAAAAACATGCCAGAGTTTTCTGAAGGCTCATATTTTCAAAATCGATTGCATTTTAGTTTGATTTTAGTGTTAAGAAGCTAAAGTACAGTCAGCAGTCCCAGTTTTGGGACACCTGGCGCTGAGAAGCGCGCAAAGGTTTAATTTTAGTGAACACCTCCAAACTATTTTCTGAAGGCTGAAAATTTGTAGACAACATTCGAATGCAATGTGAAATAAAAATATAACAGTCAGACAGAACAGTATGGGAACACAAAGCGTCAGCGCTACCTCAATCGCGCTGTCAAAATAATTTTGTCACTCAAAGTGATTTCTGAACGCTGAAACTGCAAGGTAATAGTGAAAACAATATAATTATACTCTGTTTTTTTTCTCAGGTAAGATTTCGACAGACGATGACAGAAGAAAAACAGATGACGTCCCATACCAATCTATTTATTTTACTAAAAAAAGTTTCTAATAATTTTTAAGTTAACTATGGATGGGTTTAAATATAAATCCGTCATACGTCGTCTCTTGTTGTTTTTAACCAGTTTTATTGGTTTATTTCAAAAAAGACAGATCGTATTTCAAATTTATTGGTTTGACGGAACGATGAACGACAAACGGACGCCGATGCGTATGAACTCGCCTTTAGATTTTTGACGCTTGTCAAAGTCTTGTCAAATTAGAGGTTATAATTTTGTGTCAACTTTTGTCAAATACCCTGCGTTTTGGAAGATGATGCATTTTTATTCGTGTTATTACCTGTGTTTTGTGTCTTTTGAAGTCAAGTGGAGGAAAAATCGAGTGAAAATTAACTGTAGACCCAGAGCAATGTGTATGGTTAATACTCGCTGCCCAAGCAGAAAGTCTTATACACCAATAAAGTTACAAGTTACCATCAATAAAGTTCGTATACCATCTCGTCGTAGATAAGTGCATCTCGAAGATGGTAGGACCATACTAAACACAAACATACTAAAAACTGTAGTAGCCGTCGACATTACACAATAGGTAAATAATGGATTTTAGTACTGTAGAAAAATGATGTCAAAACGTACTGGTTTAAAAATATTAAGATTAAAGTTAATTAATCAACCTTTAAGGTATAAAATGTGGTAAGTGTTAATATTAATAAAATAGTTTGTTTTATTTATGTTGTTTTATTTATTCCTGTGGAATATAACAAATTTGTATTTGTATATATAAGTTATATTGACAAATATAATCATAAATGCGGGAAGTTTCATAAAGCTTGAAAGTAAGAAATAGTTCTTTTTTCTATTTTTTTGGTATATATGGTGTCTTGTTCTTGTTTGTTTTGTATTAACACATACCGTTTTGATTAAATAAAATAACTCGATTACATTTTTTCAATTTTATGCAGTTTTTTTTCACAATATTTTGAAGTAATCACTTGTCAGTCAAATTTTAAATATTTCCTGCTATGCGTTCCAGTTGTACCAACTTATTTCTTTGTAAAATAAAATAAACTAGTTTGGAATTAAAATGACAGAAACATCTATCACTGTCAAGGATCTTCTCGTTGGACAGACTATATTAATAAAAACAGCCAGACTCGTCAATAATAGAACCCCATCAGTCAGCAGCTGATGGAAGTCAGAATAGTGACAGCGCGTGTATAGACAGGACTTTACGCAATATGTATACAGGGTGTCCCAGGCTGAGCGTGCATTAGAAGTTTCTAGATAACTACAAAATCTAGATCGGAGATTTTTTGTACATCATTGTTTCATCACGGGTTTCACAACGAGATCTATTGATTAAAAATATTTTCAATATGGCGGCCCTTCGGGAAATACCGGATGTTGACAGCAACTTTTTTATTTTAAATGGGTGACCCTATTTTTTAGTACATACTTAAATTCTCTGTAAAATTCTATGAATATTGATATAAAACACTCTATATCTAACATTGGCCGTTTTTGAGAAAAAAAATATTTAAAATTTTTGAAGGAAAAAAACTGCCTGTCAAAAATATTTGTATCGCCTAAACGTCAAATTTAGTGATTACCACAGCCACTGTGAAATAAAGAGAAAACATGTGGCTATCTATTTAAAAAATTAAATTGTTCGCGAATGTCATATAATAATGGCCGCAGCTGTCATAAAATTGAGAGATTAAATAATTATTTTAAATCGTTTTTTTTTAAATGGAAACCCACTTTTTTTATTTCACTACTGAAAAGGCTCTTTAATTCGTTACTCTTTGACTATACAAGTTCTTCTAAAATAAATCGTTTTTAAGTTATTTAAGATTTAGTTTTAAAGAGTATATTTTTCTTGATTTTAACCAGTAGTCTATGACTTTAAACGTCAAGTGATGTAAAACAATAGATCTCTGGACATGTCATATTGTGACGCTTTTCAAACTTTTTCCAAACCAACTTTGCGCTTTTTTTCGATCATACGGAATATTATTAATAATATCAACTTTTAGATATCACTAAGAAGCAAAGATACGAGTTATAATATATTATATAGAGATATTTTTATAAATACACTTTTTAAACTCTTAAGGGGGGCAGGCGGTATTTATAATATCTATAAGAAATTCAAATAATTCGTTCTCTGGCAGATGGAAATAAATTGTCTGACCGTTTAACACTTAATGTCAAAGGAAGCTAAATAAAATATACGTTTTCAAATTAAATCTTAAATAACTTAAAAACGATTTATTTTAGGTATAGGAACAAGTGTAGTTAAAAAGTAACGAATTGGAAAACCTTTTCATTAGTTAAATAAACAAAAGTGGGTTTTCCCTTAAAAAATGATTTATGATAATTTTTTAATCACTCAATTCCATGACAGCTACCGCCATTATTATATGACATTTGAACAATTTAATTTTTGAAATAGATAGCCACATGTCTTCTCTTTATGTCACATAGAATTTAAATATGTAATAAAATTGGGAGCACCCATTTAAAATAAGGAAGTTGCTGTCAACTTCCGGTATATCCGGAAGTGCCGCCATATTGAAAATATTTTTAATCGATAGATCTCGTTGTAAAACAATTGTGACAATGATGTGCAAAAAATCTTTGTTCTAGATTTTGTGGTTCACTATTAACTTGAAATGCACGCTCAGCCTGGGACACCCTGTATATTGATATTCATCAATAATTCACACAAATCGATCAACACAATTCATCTAAATATAAATATTATAAGAAAAATAGATTTTAAAATATGTAGTTTACAAATGTCGGGTTGAAAACGGTGTCAAAAAAGCAGTTTTTACATTAATAATTTTGTTTTGTTTTGCTCTGTCAGACGTTATATTTTTGTTTTACGAAACGTTTTTGCATTCGAATAATATCTACAAATTTTCAGCCTTCAGAAAACAGTTTGGAGGTGTTAATTAAAATTACACCTTTGCGCGCTTTTCAGCGCCAGGTGTCCCGGAACTGGAACTGCTGACTATACCTTTGCTTTTTAACACCAAAATGCAATCGATTTTGACAATATGAGCCTGCAGAAAACTCTTACATGTTTTTGGACCCGGCTCTTGGACTATCATTACCTAAGTTGTTTTTAAAACTATAGTTATCTTGGTAAAACTTGAACAAGAAAAATAATGAGGATGTAACTAATAATGACCCTTTAGTTTTTTTAGTTTATTTATTAATTAATCAATATAATTGTTTCAATTACATTGTCATTAAAACAATACGATTTTTAATTTCGTACGAGATAAAAATGATTAAGTAGATTCTTTACCTATATATTTGAAAAATTCTGTTTATAGTTTACATTTTGTCGGTGGCAAACTAAATGGCGATCTCTGTACGTTTGAGTGTCTTATTGGTTTGTTGTTTAACACCAGTCGTGTACTCGGGTAAGTTTTTAAACCCATTACTTAATATATCTCGGATAAGGAATTTTCTATGGCTAGTTCAGCAGAACACTCATCAATTATTTCAAAAAAGTACTATGGGTATTTCGCCACTTGTACTGTAAAAAAATCTACAAAATAAAGTTCATGTAGAAGCGTAGTTAAGACGTTTAACTTGACTTTTTTAACTTATTTATAATACTTGAATTGAATTAATGTTAGTTAACTCATTACAGATATTAATAATTATAATAAACCACTGTATATTTTTGAACTTATTTAATAAAAATCAATCAAAACATTCGTTTTTATTGTTTCAGCTGTTATTCGCCAACTCACTGACGACTATGAACCAGTTCGTAAGTTTTAAATAAGTTTAAGTTATTGAACTTCTTTCTGATAAAGTAATTTTTAGCTACCGATTGTCCTAAAACAGACGGCACAACGCCCACATATTTTCCCGCTGTAAATTGCTCAAAGTTCTGGGAATGTTCGAATGGAGTGCCGTACCTGTTTGAGTGTCCGGCTAGCCTGAATTTCGACGAAATTTTACACGTGTGCGATTCACCCAGTAAAGTAACATGTACCGGGTACGGTTGGTCCACAACTACAGCGGCATCCGATGTAACTACTTCCACTAATACACCTTCTACTACGACTAAGGCCCCTACAACTACAACTAGTACACCTTCAACTACTACTAAATCACCTACCACTACAACCAGTGCGCCTACAACTACTACGAGTACACCTTCAACTACAACTAGGCCGCCTACTACTACCAGCGCGCCTACAACTACTACTAGTACACCTTCAACTACTACTAAACCACCTACAACTACTACCAGTGCGCCTACAACTACTACTGGCACGACACCTTCAACTACAACTAGTGCCACCACAACTACTACTAAACCACCTACAACTACAACTAGCGCACCCACAACTACTACTAAACCACCTACAACTACAACTAGTGCCCCAACGACTACTACTAGGCCTCCTACTACCACCAGTGCGACTACAACTACTACTAGTACTCCTTCAACGACAACTAGACTACCTACAACTACAACTAGGCCACCACAGACCACAACTACCAATGTACCAACACATCCTGGTCCTGGACCAGATCCCGACCCGACTCCAAATCCTGGTCCTGAACCTGAACCAACTCATAATCCCGGTCCAGGGCCAGAACCCGAGCCAACGTTAGATCCTGGTCCAGGTCCACATCCCGATCCAGAGCCAGATCCCAATCCAGAGCCTAACCCAGAACCAGATCCAAATCCAGAGCCTAATCCGGAGCCTAATCCAGAACCAGATCCAAATCCAGAGCCTAATCCGGAGCCTAATCCGGAACCAGATCCTAATCCAGAGCCTAATCCGGAACCAGAGCCTCAGCCGGGACCAGAGCCCAACAATCATCACGGTCATCACGATCACGGTGATAACAACCACGATGATCACGATGATAATCACGGTCATAACAATCATAATGACGATGGCAACCATCACCACCATGATAACAACAATCAGGATCATAATGGCAATCATGACAACCACGGTGAAGATCATAACGATAAGCATAACCACGGTCATAACAATGATAATCACGATAGTAGCCATAACCATCATAATAACAACAATCAAGATCATAATGGTAAACATAACAACCACGGTGAACATCATAATGACAACCATAATAACCATGGACATTAAGTATCAGAACTTTAATCCTATTACAGAGTGTAGTCATTTAAACCAGGAACATCTTAAATTAATTAAATATATTTTCTTTTTATTTGTTCTTAATTTTTTTTTTTTTTTTTAATAAATGTATTATAAAAATTTATGGAAGTATTTTTCATTAGATTTATACAGGGTGAGTCTTAAATAAATGTAAATATTTTTAGGGGTAGTATATTTCGGCCCCAGAAACACGTTTATGAGATTTTTTCACGAAAAAATAATTTTGAAAATTTGGAATTTTTATTTTTTTTTATTTTTAGTTAAAATTCATATCTTGATTATATAGCAATATAAATATAATATGTACTAGATTAAACTTACAAGAAAAAAAATCCAGAAAAGATCGACTGCTTTTCAAAATTTTAGCAAAAAGTATTTTTTTTTGAAGTTTTCAAAGTGAAATATCTCGGTTATTTTGGACTTATTTGAAAAACCGGTAAAGAGAAAATATATATTTCTTTTATCGAGATCTACCAGCCCTGAAAATATTTATACTTATTTAAGACTCGCCCTGTATATTTTGTCTTTTCATACCAGTCGTGTCGTAGATAAAGTCCGCATCATACCGAACTTTTTATTATTTATTGACTTAGATGAAATTTGAATTCGGTGATAGTTTCTGTTTTGATTTAGACTAAAAATCTCTTAAGAAAATTTTGCTTCTTCTTCAAATTTGACATTTAAAGTAGCGATGGGAACTATCGAATGAATTAGACTATCGAATGGTTAATGAATGAATGATTTCAACTATCGAATGGTTTTATTCGAATAAAATCATTCATTCATTTGTATACTAAAGCATATGTGACAACTCGCCGTGCGACTAAATGGTTATCGTTGAGGCACGACTATCGAATGCTTTTGATAAATGAAATTTAGTATTCGTTTATTTTTTGTATGCGTCCAGTGCATTATTAGTTCTTCCAATTTTATTAACTTTTAAAATTTTATTAAAATAATTAAAATACTAAAATAGTAGTTATTTTTAATTTTATTTATTGACGATAGTGTGCATGTGCAGGTGGTCAAAAATTTTCCGATAATTTGTGTGGTTTCCGTAGTCCGATCTTTCAATTATTTAATTTTATATGGTATAGGTATGGTCTATTTTTTAATGGGAAATTTTGAGAAGTAGCAATTTTTAGAGAGATGAGATGAACTTACAATTAATTTTAAAAATACATATTTGTATTTAGATGTTTTAATAATATGAATTAGTTGAACTTAATAATCATATTTAAATGGTTAAGTAAATGGGGTTATGGAACTCAAACTATGGGGTGAAAATTAAAATGAAAGTTTTACACGCGCCAATTTAAAAAAAAGTTAACGATGTTTGTATTTTGTTTATGTTAATTCTCTTACATGTAGTTTTTGCGAAGAAAAAATATTTCATTTATTTTTATAAGTATATATTATTATTTTATAATATATTAAGTAAATGCCAGTAAAGTAAATACATATAATTTTAAATAGTAATATAAAGCACCTAATATAAATAATTTTTGATTTCCACAATTTTTTATTTATATTTTCCTTCATTACACTACATGCTTAGAAAATTAATAAATGTTTATATTCATGATTTTAAATTTGTTGTTAATATAACAAATTACTACAGCAATTATTATTATTTAATAAACCAACGTTGCCAAAAATTTAGAGACTATATTATTTTAAATAGGATCTAATATAAATAATTTTGACATCCAATTTGTTGTTTATATTTTGCTACTACTTAAAAAAAATATATGTATTAAATGATTTTTTAAATTTTGTTGTTAATAGGTATAACAAATTATTACTGTTATTATTATTTATTAAACAGTCTTTGCTTAAAAACATTAAAATAAGTACCACCATCCATAATAACAAGTATTATTGCAGTGTAACAACAGAATATTAAGAAAAAAAAATGCAGAATATAGACATACTATCCCTAATTAACTAAAGCCAAACAATAATATTCTTTGCTAATATCAACTAATACCAAAATATGGCAACAGCGCCTTTCATAATGTATTTTCTGTGTAAATACTGGCACCTCAATAAAAAAAATAATATGTCCTTATCATAGACTTAAAATAAAATACCTGCCTCCGACCGCTGTCGGGTTTCTCGGAAAGAAACCTACGTCCCCGGGCGACAACTAAAATTCAGTTAATATTTTATTATAATCGATCCTGACGAATAAATGAATTTCATAAATGAATGAATTTTATAAATGAATGGTTTTTGCTGCCGAATTACTAGAATACAATATTTCAAGGCAGATGACGGATCTATTCGATAATTTTTATTCGAATAGTTTTCAACGAATGTTTTCTTACTAACTATCGAATTATTCGAATGAATTGCAACTATCGAATGTTTCGATAGTATTCATTCGATAGTTCCCACTACTAATTTAAAGTAACAAAATGGTAAAAAAATGTATTTGCTGACAGAATTTCGAAAAATATTATTTGAAACAGTTGTTTCCTTTTTAATTTTATATAAGTGTACCGATTGTCAACCATCTACAGTATGTCCTCGGATTGTCTTTACAAGAGGAAAAACTTTTTTATTATTGACATTTTGAGAAAAATACATTCTTCATAAAAAATTGCTTGTTCCCCGTTTATACTTTTCCAAATTTCTATATATACCGTTTTTCAGAAAATAAAATAAAAAAAAAAACATAAAAATATGAATTTCCCTATCGAGGTCCTAAGTGTTGATGTATACAATTCTTATAGTTGTAAACGTGTTCGTTTTAATTCTTCATCTATTGGAAAAATAATATAGGTGTCCCATTTAGAAAAACGAAGAAAATGTATTTTATATTTTAATTTTAAATTAATCTATTTTTTATATATTTTAAATTATTTTATATTTTAAAAAGTTTGGCTTGAATTACTAGAATTTTGAACACCCTGTATGATTTAAGAATACGATATTTATAGAAAAGCAAGCATAGACCATCTGAAGTAAATACCTAATATAGTTTTGATTTCAGGACAGTTCTTGTACTTGTAATATTTTTTTTAAGAAGGTTGAAAAATATATATTTTTAATTTATTTATTAATATCTCTGAAATTATCGAAATATATTTATTATGTAATATCATATCTTAAGATTATATAAAGTGATCTGAAAGGAAGCCAAAAAATGCAATAATATACTTATATAATATAATTATAAAAGAATTAAGTTAAGTTAAAATATTTTTTAATTTTAATTTTTTAATTAAAGTTAAAATATTTTCCTGAAATACATCCTAGTACATACTTTAGGTTTGCACTTAAATAAAATGCCTAAGTTTTTTATTCTAGGAGCTACAGATGCCCGACGCACAGAAGTAAGCATGGAGTACCTATGGTTTAAGTTAGCATTGAGTACCTATAGAAGAAAGTTAATCATATTCAAATCTAGAATACCACTTTATCTAAAGAAGAAAACATTCAACCAATGTGTACTACCAGTCATGACCATGCATGCGAAACCTGGACACTATAATGATGATTTAAAGGGGGAGACAAACAGTATTTTTATGAAAAATTCCTCCATTGTCATACTGATGCTTAAACTGCATTTTTTTTCTAAAATTAGTTTTATCTATAAATAACAAGCCAATATTTTATCAAAACACTTGATAAACTGCAGATAATCACAAATTCATAAATGCATTTAATAAAGGCACTTCTATTTATTTTACGTATTTCGGCCTAAATAACTAAAATGTATGTTACTAAATTTCTGATAGTGTTTGTCTTGGGACTCTTCATAGAGCCAGTCAGCTTAGGTAATGCATACTTAAATTAATAAATTTATATTTTTATATTGTATCTATTTATATGTTTTGTAGGTATTATTCCAGATTATCTATTGGCTGAGGGCGACGACTATGAACCAGTCCGTAAGTAAATAACTCCAATGAGTAAATATATAGGTAAAGCATTTTAATTTTTTATTTTAGCTATGTCCAGCTCATGACAACGGCACATCAATCTATTTTGCTGCAGTAAATTGCACAAAATTCTGGGAGTGTTCTAACGGTGTACCAAATTTAATACCTTGTCCTACAGGGCTTATATTTGATGATATTTAAATGTCTGTAGTATCCTTATCTTTCCCACTGTACCGGAGAAGGGTGGTCTACAACTAATAGTCCGACGTCACAACCAATTACATCCAGTACTCCTACAAAGCCTACAACTACCACTCCTAGAAGTACTTTTCCAACAACGGTTACGAGTACTACAGTTACTACTCCATCTACAGCAAGGCCTACTACATCTACTCCTAGAACTTCGAGTACAACAAGTAAATTACCAGTTACTTCTACTTCTTCAACATCAACAACACCTAAAACTTCTCCTACAACTAAATTAACTTCTACTACACCTTCTACTACTACACCTTCCACTACAATACCTTCTACTACTACACCTTCTACAACAACACTTTCTACTACTACACCTTCTACTACAATACCTTTTACTACTACACCTTCTACTACACTACCTTCCACTACAACACCTTCTACAACACCACTTTCTACTACTACACCTTCTACTACAATACCTTCTACTACTACACCTTCTACTACACTACCTTCCACTACAACACCTTCTACAACACCACTTTCTACTACTACACCTTCTACTACAATACCTTCTACTACTACACCTTCTACAGCCAAACCTTCTACTACATTACCTTCCACTACAGTGCCTACTACTACAACACCTACTACAACCGAAACTCCTAAAACCAGTACCACAAAAACTCCTAAAACTACTACCACAAAACCTCCTAAAACTACTACCACAAAGCATCCTAAAACTACTACCACAAAGCATCCTAAGACGAGCTACTACAAGCATCTAAGACCTTTACAACAAAAACTCCTAAAACTACCACAACCAAGCGTCCGAAAACAACAAAAGAACCTAATAGTTCAGATAGCTGCAACTCATCAAGTAGTTCCAGTAGTTCTAGCAGTTCAAGCAGTTCTAGCAGCTCAAGCAGTTCTAATAAGTCGAGTAAATCGAGCAAGTCTCACAGTTCTAGTTCAAGTAGTTCGAGCGAATCTTGTAGTAATAGTTCAAGTAGTTCATCAAGTGAATCCCATTCGTCTAACGATGAAATCCAAGCTAACTCGGATGAAATTGATTTTGCTGGAAATGGAAACAATGCACCTGTAAATGATACTGTAGATATTGAAGGCTTTTATAAGAAATTGTTTATGAAAACAAAATATATTTTAAAATGCCTATATAATATGGCCTGTTTTTAAATAAAATATTTTCACAATCGTTCAAAATAAACATATTATTTACTTAATTTTATATACTCTGTTTTTTCTCAGGTAAGATTTCGACAGACGATGACAGAAGAAAAGCAGATGACGTCCCCATACCAATCCTATTTATTTTACTAAAGAGTTTCTAATAATTTTTAAGTTAACTATGGATGGGTTTAAATATAAATCCGTCATGCGTCGTCTCTTGTTGTTTTTAACCAGTTTTTTTTTTTTTTTTTTTTTTTTTTTTTCATTTTTTTTGGTTTGACGGAACGATGAACGACAACGGACGCCGATGCGTGTAAACTCGCCATTACACTTTTGACACTTGTCAAGAAGTCTTGCCGAATTAGAGGTTATAATTTTGTGTCAACTTTGTCAGTTTTGTCAAATGCCCTGCGTTTTTGAAGATTGTGCATTTTGTTTCGTGTTATTACGTGTGTTTTGTGTCTTTTGAAGTCAACTGGAGGAAAAATCGACTGAAAATTAACTGTAGACCAAGAGCACAGCTTATGGTTAATACTCTGCCCAGGCAAAAGTCTTATACACCAATAAAGTTACCATCATTAAAGTTCGTATACCATCTCGTCGTAGATAAGTGCATCTCGAATATGGTAGAAGGTAGAAGGACCATACTAAACACGTACTAAAAACTGGAGTAACTGTAAAATATCGACATCACGATAGGTAAATAATGGGTTTAGTACTGCAAGAAAAATATGCCAAAGGTACTGGTTTAAAAATTAAGATTAAAGTTAATTAATCAACCTTTAAAGGTACCTATAAAATTTGGTAGTGTTATTAATAATAAAATAGTTTGTTTTATTTATGTTGTTTATTTATTCCTACGGAATATTACGAATTCTTAATTTGTACATAAGTTATATTGATAAATATAATCATAAATACGGGAAGTTTCATAAAGCTTGAACGAAAATAAGTAAGAAATGGTTCTTTTTATATTTTTTTGGTATGTGGTCTTGTTCTTGATTGTTTTGTATTAACACATACCGTTTTTATTAAATTAAATAATAATTCATTTTTCAGTTTTTATACAGTTTTTTTTCATATTTGAAGTAATCATTTGTCAGTCCAAATTTTAAATATATAATTTCTTGCTATGCGTTCAGTTGTACCAACTTATTTCTTTGTAAAATAAAATAAGCTACTTTGAAGTAAAATGACAGACACATCTCTCCCTGTCAAGGATCTTCTTGTTAGACAGACTATACTACCTTCTAGACTCGTATCAGTAAACTTTGATTATTATTTAAAATAAACGTACTCGCATGTTTAATTCATAGAATTAATGAAGTGTTTTTGTGATCGATAGTACTTGAAGATTACTATATCGAGAATACAAAAACTTTGCCCTTTTAATCAGATTTTAACTATTATAATCTAAGGTTTTATTCAACTTATGACTGTAGTGACTCATCCTTAAGCGCAGTTCACACGCAACGATTTATCGTACGATTTGCTTGCGGCGACAAAACGTTGCAGGTAAAACGTACAGACCAAGTTGTAGGCACATTATACAACAACATATTATCGAGAAAAACGGCGTTTATTAAGTACAATATAAATAAAGAAGAAATTAAATAATAAAATAAACTATTTCCGTTATACTTGACACAAAGTGGGTTTTTATATTAAAAGAGCAAACATTTTGACTTTTAAGTGGTCTCCAGATATTCCCAGAAATTCGAAAAAAAAAACATTTTTTAAATACCTAAACTACACACTTTTTACATATCTTTAAATTATACTACACTTGTTATATATTCTTAGCTTTGCGTAGATTAGGTAATACTATAATACTGTAACGCACGGGGGTGTCACTTGTATGGGAAAACAGGCAACAGTCAAATTTAAACGTGCCAGGAACAACGACAAAGAAAACAACATATGCCAGGCATTGGCTTTCTTTGTCACTCACATTGCTTAAATCATGAGACCGCGGCCATTTTGCCAACAAAGAAGCTGGCCGGGCTGTCCTGGCAAGTGATTTAAAACAATTTTGCTTTTTTACAATATTAAATTACCATTTGGATGTATTTAATGCGATTATTCAGTTAACTGGTAAGTACACAAATACTTTATTCGTAAATACAACTAAGATGTGAACGTATTTTTTGTATTTTTAGATTTCAACTTTGCAAAAGACTCGCTGATAGAACTTGCCTGGCAGCTTACCTGTTTAACTAAACGTATTATTTCCTGATAATAATATCAAAACACGTAAGTACCTCTATAATTTATGATGAAAAATGATTTTAATTATGTTTTATATTATTTAAATACTTTTCTAACCTCAAATAATAGTAGATCCTTGTTTATATAGCACAGCCCGTTCAAAACTGTATTGTCTTCAAAAAATGTTTACAAAACAAACAATTATTAAAAACAATGTCCTTTAATCTGATTTATACTTCAGAAGGATGCCAGTAAAATTTTATTAAATCAACATTATATTATTTGGCCGTTAATCTGCAAAAAGGAGCATATTGCCTTTACTTAAATTTTCTTTACTTCTCCGACAATGTTCTCTATATTCTCTATTTTGAGTTAGTAAACTTTTGAACGGGATGTGCGATATATAAAATACATAATATATCAAGGGTATGATCTGATAAAAGTATTTTTGATGCATTTTTTGGTTGTTTATGCACGTTGACTTGGTTTATGTTTTATTCCGCTTATATTTATTTGGTATAACAGTTTTTTTTGCCTTGGAATGGCATGCATTGAGGCTAGATAATGTTTCATTAGATCATTAAAGGAATTTAAATTAGCATATTTTTGTCATATTAGTGTGTTATCATTATACAGGTAGTTGTATCATAGTGCCTTATGCATGTTATTTACCTATTATATGCTTATGTATTATCAGTAAATAGATGATAGCATACTACTAAAATGTCTTTTAATAGATATGTTTATCTTTATTCACTAGTTATTTGCAAAATAATATTTTGAACTAATTTAAGTCATTAATTGATCATCTTTCTTTTCAGGTTCGGGATATTCTTTTCATTATTAAAAAATATATATATTTCAATATTATTGTAATATAAATCGCAGCTCTAAAAATAAATGATATCGTTTACTAATGTGTAATTTATTTACTATGAATTTTCTTTGAAAATAATAGAGTCTTTAATAATATCATTGATTTGCTTTGTAAAGTTAATAGACATATTTTTAATACATTAAATTATATTAATGTAAAAAATATGTTTATTAATAAAGCAATGTAAGTGATACTTATAAAAATATTTTTAAATTTCCCTATTTTTGTAGCCCCCCTCAAATTCTCCTGAATTTAGCTAGTACTGCCAGGCGACACCAGGTGGCGTGTTTCAGTACAACATGAAGTTGCATTTCTTTAATGTACCTATTCTCTGCTGTTGCGTTTTAGTTCGTTACATGTCTTTTTTATATATAATATATGATGTCTGGCATATCGTCACTCGATTCCGTATCGTTCGGGTCTGATGATTTATTTGACGAATTTTACGTTCTCTAGTCCACAACCCTGTTTTCGTTTGACACAACCCTGTTATCGCTCTGTGGAGGCGCGCGCTGTCAACATCGCTTCTGTCAACTCTCTGTGATTTAACTTCACTTTTGGTTAGACTGTTTTGGCCTGTCAGACGCCATTAGTCCCAGTTTTTAGAAATGGTGATTATTTAAATCTTGCTGTGTAATCTGAATCAGCTGCTATTTCGAAGCTACAGGTAAAGATGAGATATTATCCTTTTTAGATTCGTTACTATTACTGCGTATTTTTAGGGTAGAGTTGCGGATGCCCTAACCTAACTTGTAATTGTGTTTTGCTGGCACGTTGTGCCCTTTTCTTTTGTCCTCAGAATGTCACATGGAAGGAAGGACAGGTTCTTTAATATTTAGTGAGCCCTCGGAAGTAATTCCAGGTAGGTTCATTGTTTATAAGATCTTGTTTGGTTTTAAACAAGAGTTTCATATTTGTAGGGTCCAAAGGTACGGGTAGTGTCTTATGTACAGACATTATCTTATGTCCAGATGTCCTGTGGACGAGTATCCCCCAGTAAGAATGATTTTCTTCTTACATATAAGTGCCACAGCATGGATGTAGCTTGAGTCCCATGCTGCTTCACTGCCATTTCTAAGCCTAGTCAGTAGCTACGGCTGTAGTGATTCACGGTGTCCTCAATCTGGCCCCTTTTGTTGTTTCGACCAACAGGATCGCCGACAGACAGTACAGAGATGCTAGACCACCTCACGATGCTACTGTTTGAAGCAAGGTTATATAAAGAACAGCTAAGTGTATATTTAAGTTCTAGTTTACATTTAACATCTAAAACATTTTCCAGTCTTAAACAGTAACATTACATTTTTAAATAATATCGTACAGACTATATTTAGTGGTTAGATTATTAAGAACATTATGTCGATTCAGTAGTTACAATATGATTTAGATTTTAGGTTTCATTATATTGCACTTGCTTGTAATAGTAGTACTTTCTATAGATATTATTATTGTGCTATTTTAACAGATGAATAACAAGACATAGATTCTAGAATCTGCAGGTTGCAACACATCAGATTTAACACCACATAAATTTAACAATTTAAATAAAATGCTACTTTTCTTATATTTTCTATAACGTTACACGCATTGTATTTTATCATAGTCTTTTTCATAGAACATATTTAATATTATTTACATACATAGTTTTACTCAACAAATAACCACTATAATAATTATTAAAATTTGTACAATGCTATTTACCATCAGAATTCATCATGAATAAATATACTCATTAGTTTTAAGTATTATACAACTGTTTTCTTTCTCTGTACACATGGCACCCAATATCTATTTTTTGTTTATTGTTCTTAATTAGTTTTCTTTCCAGTGAAATACCTTATCCACGACTGCTCTCCGATGAAAAACTGCCGATCGCAGTGGTAGTTGTCTAAAAAACACTACAATACTATGGGTGCTCTATCTTCCATGTCACGAGGTTTACTCTCGTAGGGCAGTTTCTGGTGACGACACCAATTATGCGTACTAGGTTCTTTTTGTGCTCTAATAGTTGTTTTGTCTTTTTGCTATTTACCACCGGCCACAATCTTCGAGCTGTAGCGCAGTCCTCACGGTGTTGCCACGTCTCTTGCTGTTTGGCCTGAATGGTAATTCCTATAGCTTCCTTCAGTCATCTGCCACGGCCTCTCCCCTGGTCTCGTCTTTGGCGAGTCTGTTTGCTTCCTGGTTGCCCACCACATTGCTGTGGCCTGGCAACCAGCAAAGAGTGGTCCCGCCCAGCCCCGCCATCATGCAGCCAGGACGGTGCTTCTCGACAATCCGATCACGCTTTTTTGATTTCACTGATTACGCACACAAACTTTTTTTGTCGAAAAATAAAATTCGAAGAAAACATAATAAATCCAAGACACCTCCCATATCGGATCGCAGAGTGAGTCTTATAAGTGCAAATATTTTATTTCACCCCAGAAACACGATTCTGGCGTTTGGCGAAAATAAAATTGTGAAATTGGAATTTTAGATTTTTAGTTTTTAGATAGATAAAAATATAATTTCTCTCGATGATATGACAACATAGGTAGTAAATTAAATATACAAGAAAACTCAGAAAAGATCAGGGTTCTCAAAAGAATTTAAGCAAAAAATAATTTGTTTTGGAAATTTTCAAGTAAAATAACTTGGTTATTTTGAACTTTGATTATTGGAAAAACAGTGAAGAGTAAATATGTTTCTTTTATCAGAGTCCTTCTAGCCCTGAAAATGTTTGTACTTTATACGACTATGATTTTGTCGTTTACTGGTCAAATAGAAACTAAATAAAACCTTCATTTTCTAATTGAGAGATTGCAATAACCAAGCAACTCCACTTTTTTAGAAAATAGATTTCTACTCAATTACATTAAAAATAGCCTAATCGTTCTCTGCAACAATCAGATATCTCCATTTAACAATACATAAATGACAACGTTATTTGGAGCTGCCCTGCTTTCAGTTCTCAGCAAACAAAATTTCTTAAATGAACTGCCAGGTTGTGAAGCCTAATTATTTAAATTCTTTCATCAAATTTCAACTAAAGTTATTGGGATAAATAGAGAAATTAAAACAAACATGAAACTCCAAAACGTATATATTAATTTATAATAAAACTTCACATATTTATTATTAGTATAAAAAAAAAAAACTTACCCTCCAAAACTGTACGAATACGAATACGAATTATGGAACGATTGCCCAGTATTCCCCAATCTAAAACTACTCATCATAGGCGGCTGGTACCGAAGTTTCTCGAAAGTCTTCGGAACCGAAGGATCCCAATTACACTTAAAATAATTCCCAGCTATCGGGTGTCCCAAACTATACTGCTTTGCAAAGTTTCTCATCGAAAATCCTTGCCTAGCCGGCAGAGAATAAGCAGGTATACGAGGTTGATTGAAATTAATCTGTCTGTTCTGTTTGTAGATCATGTAGGTGTATCTGTGGGGTCCACTGCCTTTCTGTGGACACGTTGGCATGTACTCTGCCAGAGTCTGACCTTGACGTATGTTATTCCCGGGAATATTCCCCACGAGCCAGTGGTTCCAGCCTCCGGGTCCCGATTCTTTGGATTTGGGTGCGTCCGGGTCCATCATGCACAGGGTGTAGAGGGAGTTCTTGTCGGCTTCCCAGTAGATGCTGGGTGGGTTCTTGGTTTGGGAAGGTGTGAGCTCTTTGCCGAGGTCAACTTGACCACCGCTGGGGAAAGCGACTTCTGCGAGTTTTTCCGGGCATCTGTCTACAACGTCTGGAACTATTTTGTCGCCTTTCATGGTTTTGAAAACTGAAACGGTAATAAATATTAATACTATTTATAATTTTCTTTTATTATTTTTTTGTTGATGCTTTAAAAATGCCTTTGATACCCTATAATATACGGGGTGAGTCTTAAATAAGTATATTTCGATCCCTACAACATAGGTTTATGACATTTTTTGCGTAACATTTTATTGAAAATTTTGTCTTTTGCGAAAAGTTTCTTAGATTATTTTTAATTTTCAGTTAATGGCAACTACTGGGTACTATAAGCGACCCATATAGCACGTCCAAATGAAATTACGTTTCTACAAGGGAGACACATGAAAAACAACATGATGTTAAAGTGAACCTAAGTGTTCATCTAGTTCTAACATATACATATGAGATACACGCAGGTTTATATTATTAAATTGTGTGATAGTGTTTACTAGTTGTATACCGTATGCACTCAAGATTCTAAAGATTTTTTTGTAACGTAACAAATAATTATTAAAATGATGAAATCTGACATCGGTATATGAGACATACAATGTTTAAGTCATATGTATGTGTGATACTTCGTATCATAGTTGTGCCTATAGTACACACCTTGTAAAAATGTGACGTATACACATAATATAAATATCTATATAGACACTTTGTAATAGTGTACTGTTGTGTCTACATTCTAGCATGAAATGAAGGTATGCGCATGCGCGGATAGCCTCAGTATAGATACACCAACTAAGTGTATCTTATGTGTCCTCTCTCCTTTCTCCTTTCTAGGAGTGGTATGTTGTTGGCTCATTATCATTCGGAGCTCTATATTACTCATCTACTGTTTGTGTGTAGTTTAAGAGAGATTTTAAGGTAAGTACAAGTTTTTAATTACCTTGTTACACCTTCTTAAGAGAGTATTATTAACTATTATAGCGACTCTTCCCTTACTCGATACTTAATTTACCAAATTTTGACTCCAATTAATGAAAACTCCAAATATTCTCGTATAATGATAAAGAGGTTAGCTGAGTGAGCTCTGCACAATACATTTTTTAATTTGGAAATATTAAAAATGTAAATGGTAAGAGAAGAAAGATTTAAACACTTCAAGAACTGCTTATACTGATATTCGGTAAGTTATTGATGGATCGATACACAGATATGTTTAATATTCAATAATCAGTTTCATATAAAATTTAAGGGTGAGATTGTTATCTGGAAATAAAAATGAAATTCCAACAAGAGTGCTCGATAGGGCCAGGTATGCTAATAAACCAACTTGGAGGAAAAAGAGCAGAAAAAAATGACTAAACGAGGTCCACCAAATTGTGGCGATATACTAGTGTTTACCATTTTAGTATGTTGTTATACTAGGTACTTATATTTTTAATACATTTCAGATACAAATTCTATTCTTTTACAGTGTTTTCTTACTTCTGGTTTCTGCAGTGTAAATAATTATTATTATTGTGTTATTTGCGCTATTGCGTTCCCATGATATAAAGAAATATAAGAATTTTATTTTCTAACCATAATCCATTTTATGGAAGAAAAATGGTACATTTAATACAAAACAAAAAATGGAACAATTTAGGCTACTTCTCTTGAACTTACGATCGAGATACTTTGGAAAATACAAAGTTTGCCTTCCTAATTTTCGTTACGAAAAGTTAGGCATCAATACTTGTATTATTTCCTAATTTCGTTCATAAGAAGTAGGTAGTTTTATCTAGTACAAGATGTATATGCGAAGCAAAATACATACGTATACAGGCGGTAGTCACAACTACAATGTGTAAACATAGTTTAGACGTAATACACAAGTACTGTGTATCCTACGGCACACTGTGTATCCCTTACTTTTTGTATACGTAAATGCTATACTTTGGCTACATTGTGAGGCGGACGTTTAACCTTTTTGCATACGTGTTGAACTACAGTGTGTAAACGTAGCATATTTACATCCAGGGAATTGTGTCACCCTGTGTCTACATCTAATAATGTAAACACATCGTAAATGTGATTTGATGTGCTGTATGGGGATACCAAATAAAAGTTTAATTGCGTCATCGATGGCGCGATTGTTAAATTCATTGTTGCCAACCATGGACATATTCGGCGCCGGACTAACTAACTGGAATTTAAATTTCCCGCTGCGGATTCAGGTGGTAGCCCTGCTGTAAAAAATGTAAAATTGTCACTTTTATTTATTTATTTCCCTGACATTGTCATTCATTTTGACACTTTAGTTTTTGTATTACGAGTTTTTGGTTTAAGTGAAGTGTGTTGTGATACTTACTTTAGCTTAAAAATTTTACTGGCAAAATCATTTCAGTCGAAAATTGTTCTTTTTGGGATAACTTTTTAGTCTGAAGTGAACAAGATGCCGAAGCAGCATAACAGCCGTTGTAAAAGACTCATCGCAACATTATTAGAATAATTTGAACGGAAAAGCGTTGTGCGGTCAAGCTTAATCAGGTGACTAAAACTTTATTTGGTGTGATCTATATTAGAATTTAAAAGAATAAAACCCAGAAAAAAATACAGTGGTTCTGCAAACTTAAGCAAAAAATCTGAAAATATGAGCACTTATTTAAAACTCGCTGTATATTATTAACTCAATATTATCTTAGACAGCTAGGATGCATACAGAAAGAGTAACAGTTATAGGCAAAGACGTTTTTGATAAAAACTGTTTCCACGTGATGGCTCAATGCAAATTAAATGTACTATAGCCGTGGTCCAACATAGCTGGACGCTAAGATGATGGATGAATTATTTTAAGCAAATACCCCCGTGAATAGGCGAATAATATTCTCAACTCACTAATTCTTTTGTAGATCATCATACCCATTTAGAAAAAAAATAACCAATCTTTCAAAGCCACACACATTCTTGTAGTAAATGTTGATATCGAATTTGACAATGACAAAGTCATATTTATCCACGACTCGTCTATAATTTGATTATTATACATGAGTTAATGAAATAATAATAATATTCATTATTCACAGGTGAATAATGGTTTCATTATTCACCGTTTCCACGGATATCTCGATCAAACTCAAACAAGAGCTGTGCTCGATCCAAGCCAGCTTGGAATGCGATTGTACGCACAAATAAAAAACAAAGACTTACTCGTTATACTCATTCAATATTTTTTTTTTGACATTAAAAATATAAACTTATATTAATATTATCTAATTTTTTTGGATAGTCCTGGATAAAGTATAGTATTCTACTCGCATATAATGGTTATTATTCACTTGGATGATTTAAATAAACTTCATCCGCGTGCGTAACAGCCACCATTATATGCTCGTTGAATAATGTACTATTTTAGTATTTTATTTGTAACTTTTTCTGGCCCGCAATGAAATAACATTTAAATGCCAATTCTGGATAAAGCTAAATTCTAGACGAAGGTACAACTTTAAAGCCTCTTCAAAAAAGCCTAGTACAACTTTTGCTGGGAATCATCTGGGGAGATAATATTTGACCTTTTTAAAATTTACATGGGATTTCCTATGTCTCGTGTTCTTGTGCATCACACGGTATATGATTAAAAACTTACTCTTGTCCCTTGTTTTGGCTCCAGGACTGATACAATACTTCGAAGGCCAATCGCACACCATCTTCATGGGGTGGAAGTTCAGTCCCAAAGGACACTGGAGTTCCAGAGGTCCCGATTTGGAACAGGCGTAGAATTTACTGCAATCGGACGGATTGGGGAACAGACCTTTTCTATATTTGGTTATGCATTCCTTCAGGGTCAACTCTGAAAAACAAATAGCAGAATATTTCTATGTTCACCGATTATTGGGAGACCATGAGTATATTATAGTTATTTATGTATCAGGGAAATTATAAGGACAAATTTTTCTTGCCCAAGGTTATTAACACTTTGTAATTCCCGTGGTACATAGAAAATTTTATTTCTTACTGAATTTAAAGCCTTGGAAAAATTATGCCTTGCGGAAGGGATGGGCCACCCTGTATATGACATTAATGATATAAATAAATTATTAGAACAGTTAGATAAGTGTCTACTTTCATTTTGTATTATTACTCAAAATGTCTATTGTATTTCATTGTTGTTACCTTCAAAAGCCCAAGTAGCATTTTCACGACTTGCGACCACATGTTTACTAAACACAACGTTGGATTAGTTACAAAAATAGTTAGCTCCCTACCTTGGGTATTAGAAATAAATTTAAACGTTTTTATAACGTTGTGCCGACGTTGGACTAGTACTACAGCAAAGTAGAAGCTTCTGCGACGTCGAATAAACGTTGTCTTGTAACCTTTTTTGCTTAAGTGATCTTTTGGTGATTCGGACAACGTAGTTACAACGTTGAACAATATAGAGTTTCCGACGTCAGTTTCATGCCCTATTCCAACGTTATGCAAACGTCGTCTGTTTACTAATTCCAACGTTGTTTAGATTTCCTTATTCTTACGTTGGTAGGACGTCGAGTCCTTTTTGCAACTGTATTGAACCATAACCTTAAATCTTAAATTTTCACTTCATTGTTCTGTTCAGTCGAACAGTTCAATTCTGTTTTGTTTTAAAAAAAACTTAATTAAAATGGGACATAAGAAGGAATTACATATAAAACTAAATTTAAATATACATCGACATATATTACCGATAGTTTATCCACTCCCTCGTTTATTTAGATTATAGAAGGCGGCACAAGCTAGATTCTAGAATTTGATAAATTAGGCAATCTTGCGACTAGTATACTACCTGTTAAGGCCGAACTGCGACTTTATTAGTTTATTAGTCCAGTATGCGACTACTAGAACTACTCCATCTTAATCTCCCAAAACAACAAAGTGAAAGCCGCCATGTTGTTAAATAAGAAAATGTTTCGTTCTAAAATAGCAATTCCTGCTTTTGAATACATTAACTTGAAATATTTGACCCTAAATATTTTGCGGAAACTATTTTTCGACTGCGAATAAATTATTCTCATTTACTAAAAAAAAAATTCAAGAGAAAATTTTTAAAAACTTCTTTAATTTTAAAGGCCCATTAGTATTTTCAAAGTAGAAACAATACATTTATCAATAAAGTTGTTTGCGTTTAACATTTTTGCCTTGGGTAACGAGTTTACAGAGTCGGTTAAAGTGTTTCAATAATTATGATCTTCAAACATCCTCCTCACTTAAATACTTTTGTTTTGATTTCCTTCACTGCCATCTGACATATGTCTCTACCTAAATCATAAAAATAATATTTTTACTATAATTATCCCAATTTGGGATGAAACGCGACTAGACGCCATATTAGTTTGTATTTCTGTGAATTAGGATTTAAAACAACGTTGCAGTTTGTACTAAATTAGGTTTCTAGCCAACGTCGGTATCCAACGTCGTTTCGACCCAAAATTATTCTCCAAACTAGTGCGGACTAGGGTTGGCACGAGGTTGTGCCGACGTTGCGCCCCGACGTTTGGTCGCGTGACACAACGTTGTCCCGACGTCCAAATACTGCCCAGGGTAGGGAACTATGACATCTTAATTCTCGTTAATAATGTCCCAAGGGAGATATGACTTTGGTGATATGATGGTTAGCGTGACCAAGACGATATAAGCTTGTATTAATTCAGTAAGAAATAAATAGTATTTAAATATGACTAGTTGATACCTGGTGGTGGTGGTGGAGGTGTAGGTTTAGGCCTGTTGCATCCAAAGGAGCTCTGGTCAAATTCCAGCCCTTTAGGACATGTCATCAATCGTGGAACGGTCTTGGTACAGATGTAGAACTGCGTTGGATCAGATGGATTGGGGAAGATGCCGAATTTGTACTTCGTGATGCATTGTTTAAAGTTGAGACTTTCTGAAAAGAAACAATAGATAATACCAACAGAATCAACTGTGTAACGTTTTAGTTCGTTACATGTCTTTTTTGCTATAATATATGATATCTGGCCTATCGTCACCGAATTCCCTCTCGTTCAGGCCTGATCATTTTGTTGGTACGCTTAGCGTAATTTTTACGTTCCCTGGTCGCCAACCCTGCTATCGGTTCACTATTTGCAGTGTTACCAACTCAGGATTTTAATCCCTAAATTTGGGGAGAAAACATCTATATGGGGATTTTTTTAGGGAGTAAATTTTTGGGGATATTTTAGGGATAAAATTTCAATGGAATTTTACCGACCAGAGGAGATAAGACCGCTACTGCTATTTTTGAAAACGAATAGGAAGAATGTCAATAAAACAAAATAATTTATTTATTTTAATCACCAGAGTGGATAACAGTTGTGGTGATTTTAGTTGTTTGGATTTAAGAAGGTTTGATATTGCTTTAATCTGCTTTAATGGAAAGTTTCGAACAGTTGGCTACGTTGCTGTGATCAGACGTATCAGGGTGCAGCCACACTATCCTAGAAACGGCGCGGCGTATCGGCATAACGGCGTAATGACCTTGAATAGATTTCAAGTAATTCTATTGGCTGAAACATTCATCTGTCAGAAATTTTATCTGTCATATTCATCTGTCAAAATTTCAGCCAATAGAAATACTGGAAATCGTTACATAATACGCCATTTTATGATAATTATTAACAAATCAACCATAAAACACAACAAATTGTTTATTTATTATTATTTATATTTTAAGGGTTTTTCGGGATATTTTTTTAGGTTTTTAGGGATATTTTGGGGATTTTGATGCGAGTGTTTGTTTAGATTTTTTGGGAGATAAATTTTTGAGAGTTGGGAACACTGCTATTCTGTGGAGGCGCGTGCTGTCAACATCGCTTCTGTCAACTCTCTGTGATTTAACGGCACTTTTGGTTTGACCCAAGGTTTGACCGTTTGGCCCTTTGAATAAGAAGACTAAGGGAAGGAGCATATCAAAAAATCTTAGGTACACCGCGATGGGCCTCAAATATATGGCCGACTTAAATTCCGGTTTACCAGTGTCGTTCTAATTTTATTTAAAAATGTAAAACATGATGTAGGGTAGACGTGGGGTAGACTCAATAATTTGTTGTTTTTATTTTACGTTGTGAATAAATGGTAGTTATTAAAATTGTTATAAAAATATATAATTCTAATAAAATAGATAAGTTATAATAAGTATTTATTAACACAAACATCCGATACGCTACTGAAGCAGGTAAGTCAAATTAACGTATCTAAATTCTTTGACATCTAATCTTTGACAAGTAATAAATAAAAGCTAAAATGCAAGAAAAATATATAATTTAGTTAATTTAAGTGAATTTCATAAATGATCTGTTTACTACGTATGTATATTATATAGTCACTTACTAGCGAAAAGTTGTTCATTATTTCACTCAATTTTGCCGAGATCTACCGTACACTACACAACCAACTATTTTAAGTCTTTTCGATAAATCGCAGTCTCACTGTTAATTTAAGTTCTATACAATTTTCATCTAGATTTACTACCTTTTTACAACTATGAGTAGTAGAATAAATAATAAATAACATAAATAAGCTCCGTAAAGACTGGCAAATCCACAAAATTTCAAATCAAATTCAAATGTGTCAAATGGATCGTCAAACAGAACTGTCAGGATCCCCACCCTAGAGAACTTTTATGGTGGCTTTTCCGCCCACCATGCATGAATATGGATAGCATTATGCTCCTTCATAGTCTTCTTATTCAAAGGGTTTGACCGTTTGGCCTGTCAGAGCCATTAGTCCCAGTTTTTTAGAAATGGTGATTTATTTAAATCTTGCTGTATTATCTGAATCAGCTGCTATTTTGCTACAGGTAAATATGAGTTTGGTTTGGTTTGGTAGGGTAGAGTTACGGATGTCCCAACTTGTATTTGCATTTTGCTGGCACGTTGGCGTCCCTTTTCTTTTGTCCTCAGAATGTCACATGGAAGAAAGGACAGGTTGTTTGTTATTTATTGAGCCCTCGGAGGTATTTCGAGGTAGGTTTATTACATTGTGGAGCCTTGTTCGGTTTTTTTTTTTTAAACAAGAGTTTCATATTTTTAGGTACGGACTGTGTCCAAAGGAAGGGTAGTGCCTTATGTGCAGACATTATCTTATGCTTGCGGATGTCCTGTGGACCAGTGTCCCCAGTAAGAATGATTTTTCTTACATATAAGTGCCACAGCATGGATGTAGCTTGATCCCATGCTGCTTCGTTCCCAGCTATAAGCTAGTTAGTTACGGCTGTATCAATTCATGGTGTCCTCATTCTGGCCCCTTTGGTTGTGTTGGATGGCTGAGTACAGAGATGCGAGACCACCTCACGCTGTTTAAAGCAAGATTACATAAAGAACAGCTAAGTGTGGATTTAAGTTCTAGTTTTACATTTAACATTTAAAACATTTACAGTCTTAAAACATTACAAGCAATAACGTACATCTTAACTAATATCGTACAGACTATGTTTTAGTGGTTAGATTGTTAGAACATTTATGTCGATTTAATATTTAATATAATAATTAATACTAAATATAATTTAGATCTTAGGTTTCATTGCATTACATCTTGTAATGGTATTACTATAGATATTATTATCGCACTACTTTAACAGATGAATAACCAAACATAGATTCTAGAATCTACAGGTTGCAACATCTTCGATTTAGCATCATATGGAATATATCAAATTAATTAAAGTAATGCTACATTTCATATTCTCTTAAACTTTACATGTCTTGTATTTTATCGTAGTTGTTTTCATTGATATTTAGTACGATTCTTACCACCACTTTCTTTGACATATAACCACTATATTTATTAGAACTCTACAATGTCATGTACCATCTAAGAACATCATGAATAAAAATATAGTCATTAGTTTTAAGTAACATACAACTGTGTTTTCTTTCTCTGTACATGCCTGGCGCCCAGTATTTATAATTTCGAGTTATTATTGTTAGTTAGTTTCATTCCAGTGAAATACCTTATCACGACTGCTCTACCAACGAAAAGCTACCGTTCGCAATGATAATGTTTTAAAAACGCTACAACTGGTAATAATAAAATCACTATATTCTAAAATACCTTGGCAGATCAGCAGATGATTATAAACTCTTTCAGTTTATAATCATCTGCTGACTCTTCTTTATGGTTAGCGAAACGCGTCCAGTGTAAAAAGTAAATGTGTTTGGTGTATTGTGGTGATTTAGTGTTTTATTTTAACACCCATAACACCCAAGGTTCCAATCCTCAACTGTAATGATTTGATTTTCTTCTCAAGAAGGGGGGCATATGTGATAACTAATAATGAAAGTATTTTCTATATTACCTGGTCCAGGTTGTGTAACAGGTTCCTTATCAGTGTCTGGAGGTGCACTGGTTTCTTCCTTAAATCTGCTTTCCAATGTTGCCGGAGACTCTTGTTTAGGACTAGGAGCCTCAGTTTCAAGTCCCGGTTCCGTCGGTTCTTTCGGTGATGGTTGCTTGGATTCCTCGGGCGCTTTGGTGACCAATCCTGGTTCAGTAGGTTCCGATGGTACTTCGGCACATTGCGGGTCTTTACTAGGATCGCAGGGCGGTTTTTCAGTTGCTGGGGGTTGAACGCATTCGCTTTGATCGGGCGATGTTGGTGTGCAGACTGGTTCTAAGAAATAATTTTATTATACAGGGTGCTACAAATTCGGGGTACGAGCATTGGTATCCCGGAAACCGTAATAGATACGAAAATGGTTAAATTGCGGCAAAGTTGCTCCTTGGGATGTTCACGAAGATGCCATAAAAAACGTTTTAAAAATATCAGGGATTGAAAATTTTTTATTTTTTCCTGTCGTTACTTTTTAAAAAATCAAAAAACTAACTGCACATTTTCATAACCACTTTATTAGAGCTATCTGGCAGTATTTTTAGATTTTGAAATTAGCTGATAGTTTGCGAGATACAGAGGCCAACTTAATTTTTAAAATACGGACTTGCATTTTTTATTTCAGATTTTGAAGAACTCCGTCTCCTACAATGTGAAATGATATGCCACAATTTATATTTTTTTGGTTTGGGTACCCTAACAACAACCAAAACTATTTAATTATTATTTAAAATAATTTTAAGTCCGACTCTGGTTTTTAAATGATTTAATCTGATTATATTAATTGCAACAATATTGATCAGCTAAATGAATAAGGATAATCGAGCCAATTAAAAGATTGAAATAAATAATATACAGGTCAACAATTTAAAGATATTATTTTTTTAATTTTTTTAATGACCATACCAACCAGGTATGGTATGCTATTAAAATCGGAAAAAAAAAAAAAAAAGTTTTTCTAATTCCTCAAATAGATTATTTAGATTCATAAATGACCTAAATACAAAATATTTTCGTGGTGTCTGTCTGTCTGTCTGTCCGTCCGTCTGTAACACTATGGCCCGGTTGTACAAACGGAGTTAATCCTGAGTTCACGATGATCTTAGGATCAACGGGTAAAAGACGTTGTACGTTATGGGTTCAGGTGCTGAACGTCCGAATTTGGGCGTTCGAGGCCAGTTCAAGTCGTTTTAAATGATTATTGTGGGTTTGCTGGTAAGCAAAATGTAAATAAATAAATTAATTAATTAATTTATTGCAATCAAACATAATGGATCATCTGTGGGAAGATATTACGGACGACGAAGATTTTTTGGAATTGGTTCATCATGTTGTACATCCTCGAGCCCCACAAGTCTACAGAGATCGACCAGATCATTTCAACATTTGGAATGATACAGAATTTAAAGCAAGAGTTAGGTTGGAGAAACAAGTTGTTAGATTTATAATGGATGAATTATCTGAACAAATCTCATCTGTTACAGACAGGTACAGTTTGTTACTAACCTGCCAAGTTTTAAGATGGACATAATTTATTTGTTACTCCTTTAGAAACCAAGCAGTAACCCCTACAGAAATGGTATGCACTGCTTTGCGTTTTTTAGCCACTGGGAGTTTTTTACAAGTTGTTGGAGATTTCGGGGGCATCCATAAATCAACAGCCAGCCGAAAAATATATATGGTTCTAGAAGCAATTGCTCAGTTGGCAACACTTTGTAAGAATGCCAAGAACTGAAGCTGAGTAACTAATGTTAGAAAAGGATTCTTTAATATTGCTAAATTACCAAGATGTGTTGGCGCTTTGGACTGCACTCACGTAAAAATTCAGTCGCCTGGGGGGATAGATGCTGAAAGTTACAGAAACAGAAAGGATATTTTCATATAATGTTCAGACTATTTGCAACTCTGATCTCAAATTTCAGGACATAGTGTGTCGATGGCCAGGCTCTGCCCATGATTCCAACATATTTAGGAATAGCAGAGTCAGAAATGACTTTGAAAATGGAGTGTATGATGACAACTTACTTGTAGCTGATAGTGGTTATGCAATAAAACCATACGTTATAACACCTCTATTAAATCCTCATACACGAGCAGAACATCTATTTAATGAGGCACAAATACAAACAAGGAATCCTATTGAGAGATCGTTTGGAGTTTAAAAAAGGCAACTTTCTTTAGGTATACGCTTGAAGCAGGAAAAGGTAGAGGCTGTTGTTATGTCTACAGTGGTCCTTCACAATATAGCATTATCAATGGGAGATGTGGAGCCTCCAGAAATCAATGAAGAAATTGCAGCTGCAATAGAACTGACAAATAATGTCAATAATGACATGGTTGGACATGTACAAAGAGGAATCAACTGGGAATCAACAATAGTGTTCGTTACACATTAATAAATACCTACTTTCAAATTTGTTGTAGATATTTTCTAAAAAATGCTATATAGGAATGTACAAATATAAATTTATTTTTAGATTTTAATTACCTATTTTAGGATCTAATATTGATACAAATCTTTATTGAGAACAAAATAAGCTTAATTAATTAATTAAATCTTGCTCCTAAACAGAAAATCCGAAAAATATATTTTAATTGTTTTTATATTTACTCAGTTTGAAGGTTATGCTGTTGGTTTTTTCTTTGTAAACTCTAGTTCATGAAACCGGGAACTGGAACAACACTTGAGACTCTGAACTACGTTCAACGGTGAACTATAGATAACTGCAGTTCAAGAAAACTTCTGTTGAACCAGTCGTTGTACAACCGGCCCTATAACTCCGCCGCTGAACCGATTTTAGCAATTTGGCACAAAAATACTGTGGCACCGAGAATCTGGCCATTAATTTTGAGGTGGGTGTGGGGGTTGGTAAGGGGTATAGGAGGGGTTAAAATTTAAAAAAATCGTAACTCCAAAATATGGAGTGTAGAGATAAGGAGAAACAATTCTTACGGGACTTTTATTGAAAAAGTGGTCACAAAATGGGAAGAATAAGGGTTCGCCAAATGACCACAGTGGCGCTAAAAACGCATGAATCTAAAAAATGAAAGTAACCATAGATAACCAAACATTACCCAAAAAAGGTTTTGTTTTTATTTTTTAGACGGAGTTTTTGAATATAAAATAATTATTGTTTATCGATATTTTGTGCTTTATTTATTATTTAGCAATGCTTAAAGTGTGTGTGGTGCGAAGTTGATTGAATAGCTGATGGAAAAATAAAGAGCAAAGGCAAAGCATTATCTATTATAGTATGTATAAACTCTTTGCATCTTTTATTCAATGTTGTAATGAATTAACAAATTGCAGGTAATTTATTCTAATAACGAAAAAAAAACTATGGATCAAAAAATATTTTCTTCTGATGAGGTTTATGAATATTAAAGTCTGTTGGGAAGTTTGGCCATTATGTGTTGGTATACAATTTATTTATGATGTTACAGTAGTTAAACCATCCGAGTATGAAACATGTTTAAAATCCACTATTCTTAATGAATGGCAACTACCAACTTGAGAGGAAGCTAAGACAAAGGTTCTATTGGGTGGACTACAAGGAAAATGGACATATACATGAGGATCTGGAAGGGCTATAACATTACATCTCAAGCCATGGGACAATAGGAAACGAAATTCAAGGAAAATATTACAATACGTGGGATGCAAATTATAGTGCAAAGGGTGAGAAAAATAATTATTAAAAGTAGTTATTGTTACGATAGTTAAACCATCCAAATATATTTAAAATCCACTATTCTGAATGAATAGCAACTACCAACTTGGGAGGAAGCTGCGAGAACGATTCTATTGGGTGAACTACAAGGTGACATGAGCATCTGGAAGGGCTATAAAATTATATTATTTCACGTCCTAAGCCATGTTGCAATAGCTGGGAGTGAAAAAGAAGATAATACTGCACACGATTCTTGTCAAGAAGTAGTTGATATTAAGGTAGTTAAGCCATCCGGCTATCGAACATTTAAAATCCACTATTCTGAATGAATGGCAACTACGATGGCAAAACGTAAATAAATACTTGTACAGTATAAAATTATATTATATTGGCTTAATTTTATAGCAATACGTAACTTTT